TCATGCTAAAAGCTTACCTTTGGCAGAAGTAAATTGAATTTAAGATATTGACGATTTGACATTTCAAAACATATATATAATATTTTCCTTATTGTCATGCTAAAAGAAGAAATATAATCAAATACGTGTACATTTTTTATATCGGTATTGTCGCCAATGGCTTTTCTTTAGCCTTTAATTTTAGTTCATGAGGCTGTATATGTAAATTGTTTTTTCCTTGCAAAGTTACACCAGTACATGTACCTATGTAAATTTCATGACGACTTGGCCAAATGCAAGAAAGGCCACATTCGTTAAATTTGATGCGCTGTCATTATGATGATCATTTTTATATTTTTGAAAATTAACTTCTGTTATCATTACAATACGCTGCTCTAAAAAATTTAAAATTTGTGAAAGTTTTCTATCTTGGATTTGTTAGTGTATTCTATTGTATATGATTTTTAAGAAATTGAATTTCATATTTCCAGTATAAAATATTGTAAGCGAGAAAGGAAGTATAACAATTTTTTTTAACAAATAAATACCGAATTTTTATTAAAAAATTATAATTATCTCGTTTGAATTTAGGGATGTTCAACCCACAACAACAATCACAATGAAGAAAGGCCGACAACCTCCAACTTTGATCAGCGGTTACGATTATACAATAGCTGTATCAGCCGCATAAACAATATCAGCAGCAAATAAACTCCAACCTCCGTTCCAAGCTCGCTACCCAAGCACTATCACCACCAACAAAAAAAGCAACCCTCCAACTCGATCGGCGGCTGGCGACGACAGCTGCATTAGTCGCAGCAACGTTGTCAGCAGCATTACAACAGTTGCAGCATAATGTGTGATGACACGGTCCGTGATACGGAAGGTAAATATAATTATTTTTAAGATTATTATTTATTAATCTAGCTGTCCTAACAGGTACGCTAGGATATCTAAACATTTGCGGTATCAATAACAATGGTGACTGCGAACCGACAGCAGCAACAACAGTAACAGTATCAACTAAGTTGCAACAGCTACAGACCAATGCGTTTGCTATATCTGTTGTGGTGGGTGCTGTCGTCGCTGTTGTGGCAAATAGACTATACAAAGTATTACATCATTGAAATAGAAATTCAAAAGTAAATTTTTTGTGATATAAGTATCCCCAACGCTTGATAAGTGAACTTTTCATATTAATTATACATGTAATATTAAATTAATTATTATTAATAACATAACTTAAAATACATAACTTATATATATTAACTAAAATTAAATAATCAGTTAAAAAATTATATACAATTAGCAATCAATAATTTTTTAAAGCAATTGATTATTCCAAGCATTCTTATCAATCATTACTGTACTTAAACAAATTATAAGGTCAAAAAATAATATAAATTCATAAAAATTCAAAAAATGAAGTTCGCTTTTATTTTTTATAACTTGTGTTGCAAAATTTTATTCATAAAACCTGCTCTTTATATTTATATAAAAATTAATTATTTGTTATAAATTTTACTTTAGATTATATAAAATTAATTTTTATAATCAAGCAAATTCAGTTTTTGTAAACTTTTAAAAATGATTTTTTAAAAATTTTTATATTTTTTATTAATAAAGTTTAAATTAAAAAGCTGTAATTGCCAGTTTATTTCAAAATATTATATTATTAAAATTAAGAGATTATTTTTATATCTGAACAAAATATTTATATCTCAAATAATAATAATAATTAATAATTTTAAATCAAACTTTTAATTCTGTTTTATTTAAATAAGTTATTAGATTCTAGATTTATTTTAATCTATTTATTTTTAATCATATATAATTTATAAAAAAGATTGTACTATTAATAACTTTTTGATTATTGTTTTATAAACTTTATTATATAAAATTGAAAAATTTATAATAAATAATTAATTGTAAATTTTGAAACTTAATAACTATTAATTCAATCTTTATAAGATTTAAAATATATTTTTGTCAAATATAAAATAATATACTTGCATAATTTGAAGCTCTAATATAACAAATTAATAAAATAATATTTAAAATATATTTTTAAAAAATTTTTCTTTTTATTTAATAATAAACAAAGCAAGATATTACTAAAAAAATAAAAAAAAATATAATAGTATAATAAAATAATATTAAAGACTAAATTATTTTTTATTTAATATAAAAATTAGTTAGATTTTGAATAGCACTTTTTATTAGATATAATTATTTCTTTTTATATTATATTATAATCTTATAATAATGAAAAATTTTATGCTTTAAATATAATAAATAAAAATTATAAAAAGTAAAAACAAATATTTTAATCTAAATACTAATTAAAATAATAATAAAGTAATTTTATGTAAGATTATTTTGTTAATGGTTGTAAACAAGATAAAATGCGATATGAATAAGTTTTAATTTTATAACTTATG